CCCCAAAACCCCAAAACCCCATTATACAAAATAAGCGAAAGTGAAAAATATTGAGAGGAGATAAAGATAAATTTATTATAACTTCATAAATATATTTCTAAGATGATGAGAATTAAGAATGATGATATTAAATCAATTGGAGACAAAAATAATGGAAGTGTCTCTGCAGGAGTTAATGGAGAAAAGAGTGTAGAGGATTCATTTGAGAGATACTATAATAAAGATCTAGACCTTGATGAAGGTAATTCTTAAACTCTCAATAATTTCTTAAAGATTAGGTACCGATCGTAATATATGAATTGAATGAAAGTGCTATTAATTTTATCTCTCAGGAGAGTTATGAAAAAGCTCATACCCTTCTGACTAAAGCTTAAACGATGTTGGACCAAATTCAGGCAGATTAGAACCCGAAAGATTAGTTTATTTTCCTTCTTACTATTCATAATATGGCCTTATGTTATCAAAAGTAATGATTTCTAGCTGCAATTTAAATAATCACAATTTAAAATATAGACTTGGAATCCTTGAAGAATGTGCGATATGCTTGGAGACCTGTCTAAATACTTTGCAGTCTCCATATATTTAGATGTACTTTAATAATCCATACAACCCAGCACTAAAACTCAAGATGCTTAAATATAAGTGCAAGACTCATATGCAGATTTGCGCCCTACTTTCATAAGTTCATAAACATAAAGAAGCAGTTATGCATGCAATTGAAGGAATAAAAATTGCCCATTTTCTTGTCAAGGACATGACTGAGATGACCTAAGTGTATAATAATGAGCTATTGTAAAGAAAACCTCTAGAAGAAATAAGCATTATTAATAACCCAAAATTTTCCCTTTTAGAAAAGACAAGTGTTAAACTTCTTCCGATTTTGAAAGAACTGAAAAGAAGAATGGCAATAGAAGAGGAGTAGGCTTCTCCTAAGCACAGAGGTAAAGAAAATGAAAAACGTAAAAGCCAACAAAATAGCAAGCTATCCACTTCAAATAATAAAGAGAATCTCAGTGAATCCTAAGATGTGGATATGAAAAATTTATTAGGTTATTTAAACTAGTCAGAATGGATTTATAGTTTAAATATTGGTAATATTATGTAAATTGCTCCCCTAACAATGCAAGACTTTATGAGTTCTTCGTCGATAGAAATGGAATTATCCAGAGAGTATGTTCTTGAAAAGGTAATAATTAGATTTTATTAAAATAATAATATCTCTATAGTTTTGCTTTCTTGCTGTTTCTTATTTCTGTATGGGCACTGAGTATAGATTCTTGCACTAGCTTTAAGAGATGCTAGGGGAATAGATATATTCAAGAAGAGATTCTGAATATTGGCATGGTAAGGCAGTAGAAATTGCAATATCATTTTTGCCAAGTGAAAGTCCTTTGGTATCTCACATATTAATGAGCTATGAAAAGCACCATTCACCTTCTAACTAATCAATAGTATAAATATTTTAAGTTTATCATTCTTAGCCAGAGGATGAATAGCAGGAAATACAAGTCAAGGTAATAAGATAGGTCAAAGGCATTGATTCAAACAAGATCTAGCCAATTATCAGACATCATAATGATAGAGATTTTAGAGTAACATATGTTGACATAGACTCTCTTGATTATTCAAAAATATTATTCAGTCCTTACAACCTCATAAAAAAATCAAATACAAACACAAATATGTCCTGGGAGTAAAATGACAGCTAAGTTACAGATTTAAATTATGATGTTGAGGTAAATCTCGATTAAAGACGAAGAAAAAGTAATTAAGAGGGTAGACTTAGTAAATCATAAGAGAAGAAGAATATTTTGAGTGGTAAAAAATAGTAAAATCATAGCAGAAAAAATCTTAAGCACAAAAATAATAATAGTATAATGAACGAGGAAGAAAATTCAGAATATGGAGATGAAGATGATAGAGGATCATAAAATAATGATTAGAATAACGGCTAATATTTTGCTTAAGGTAAAGATCTCAGGAAAGGGCAATACTATACTATTGCTGATGAAAATAATTTAAGAACTGGCAGTATTGAATCATTAGAGGGTGATGGTCATTCTTAAGGTTATAAAAATAATCGAAAAGTAAAAAAAGGAGGACAAGTTGGGCAATAAATTGCCTTAATAGATTAAGAATAATTTAGCAATCAACAAAACATTCATGAGGACTCAATTTTAAATTAAAGCACCGCATAATTGATAGAAGAAAGACGAGCTAAAAGTTCTTTAGGGGAGAACTCGGCAACAAGACTTAGAACCAAAGTTACTGGAGCATAGAAAGTATAGGGAAATTAGATGCTTTTGTAGTAACTAAGAGGCAATTCCTCGAGTGCAATGGCTAGACTTCACCCTTCTTAATAAAACAATCTTTAAAATACCTAAAATAATCAGTAATAGCCCTCTATATCGAACAATCCAAGCACCATGTTAAGAAATGTAACTTCAGTTTCTAGTGGCATCGAGGAATCGCAAGTTAAAGGTTAAATTGTCAAAAATAAATCTAACTTAGATAGCTCTATATTAACTAATGAAGACACTATTGATATGGAGAATAATAGAGCCAGAGTAATGAGAACTTAAATTTTGCAAGGAGGAAGTGGTAATCCAAAGAGACGTTTCAAAAATAACTAAGTAAATCCTATAGGTACTTAGGACTTAAATGTTAGCCTTGAGGGTTCATAAAACTCAGCAATGTAGAATGCTTAAGCTGCAGTGATGTAACAGAAAAAAAGAAATGAAAATCGAAGGTAGAATAGTACTTCTAGAGAAAAGGCAACTCCAAACAGATAAAATATTGCTCCAATAACTGATATTAGGTAAAAGAAGAGCCAGACAATCAATGTAGATGATTTACCATAGGATCAATTCTTGCAAAATAAGAAATTCATTGATAACTCTTCTATTCCTAATAATGCAGTTAACCAACCCAGATAAAATACAAGTTAAAGGATGAGACAAACACCTGGTTAGAGATAAAATAATAATGAAATATAAAATGAATTGCTAAATTCATCACTTGAGAGAGATCTTTAATTCGTCTCTAAGCTAAACCAATCAGCAATTGCTAATCATAACATATCTCTTAATAGTAGTCTTATCCAGCACTAGCCTTCCCTTGTGAATAACCAATCCAAAAGAGGAGCTAATGGTCAACCTAAGTCGAGCTCTAAAGGAAGAACACCTACTGACACCACAAAGTAGAAATATTTCTAATATTAGCAAATGTAGTAGCAATTGATGAATTTCGTTGGAAATCCCTAAACTACTGAAGGAATTCTTAATATGATAAAGAAGAGGGAGAAGCTAAACAATAGTGCTCTAGGTACATCAACTTCAAAACAATCTCAATAAGTTGAACTAGGTGGAATGGGAAACCAAAGTTAAATAGTCTCATAGATAAATAAACTATACTCTTAAAAACGGACTCCAACTGCAAATGCTGGCTAATTGGTGCAATAAGTCTAAAATTAATAATCTACAGGAGGAATGAATAATATAAAAATGGGATCTGCTGGCAAAAACATGGATAAGGCAGGAAATCCAGCAAAGCTTGCTGCATTTACCTAAGACAATTGGAATACTGCGGGGATTTCAGGTATTGAGCTGTCAAAAATGATTTAAATAGACAACATGAAAAAGGCTTCTTCTTAATCTCGAAAAGGATCCTCAAAAGAAGCCAATAAATAAGCCAACTTAAATAACAGCAATTTAATTTTCGGAAACATAATGAACGATGATGATGATTTTATACCAACCAATAAAAAGCAAGCAGCTCCAGCTTTTATATAGTCTCACACATAATATGAGAACTGGATGAACTATCAAAGTTAAAAGGTAAAATAAAATCAATAGATAGGTAACTTAGGAGCTCCAAATATAAACCAAAATAACACTGCTATCAGTAGCAATAATAGTAGATTCTGATATATTTAACTCTTTAAAACTATTCAGATCGATTGAAATTTCTCGAAACACGAATAAATAATCAACTTATATTACTTTTCTATATATTATTAATAAGAATTATCTATGAAAAATACTTATTTATAATTATTACATTTCTAATCCTGAGGGGTTTTGGGGTTTTGGGGTTTTGGCGACATTTAATTCATTTTGGTTTGAAATTT